TTTGTGTTCGTCATTTTGGTTAATTACTGGAAGATGGTGGTTCTGGCCAAAAGGGCCCACCATTCTACTGTTAATATTTATTTATTTATTTTAATTTGACCAGAGAGGGACAGAGCGAGAGAGAGAATGGTAAAGTGAGAAAGCAAGCCTTCTGGTCTGGGGCTTGAACCATGGTCAGCTATGTAGGAGTCCAGCACTTTAACCACCATGCCACCTGCTGGCCCCAAGATCTCTTGTTTTATAGTTTATTTTTTCCATGAGTGAGACAAGGATTCATACAGAGAGAGCACCCCCTCCCCAAGGTCCTGTTGGTGCAGTTCACCTCAAGCCTCAGTCATTTCCAGATCATGTGGGTGCACCTGAAAGACCTAGGGAGGTCTCAGTGCAAACCCTGACCCTTCTCATTTGGGCCAGCATTGCAGAGCTGCACCACTGTCTGGCTCATATCATCCCTTTTGTCTGCACTTTGTTGGTATAAAGGTCTCAAGATTCATCCAGAATCAGAGTATGTGATTGTGTGTTTCAGTTATTCATTCCTCTCTATTGCGTATTCCATTGTTACAAAATGCCACAATTTTTCATTTACCTATATATATATATTTTAAATTTTGCTAAAGAGTTCATGCCCTCACCAGAGAGATGAGATGGGCTGGGTGGGGCGGCGGCAGGAAGTGAGAAAGCACCCCTTAATGAGGAATGGTTATGCCATAATCTCTTCCCCTCCATCTCTCTTTCCTTCCGAGATTTTACGTGCTCACACACACGTGCCCAGTATGTTTCTCAAGCCGCTGGGTGGCTTGAGAAACTGTGTGGTCAGCCACGTGGGATCCAGCTGCCAAAATACCACACCACAGGCTGGCCACATTAACCTACTGATGGGCAGTTCTGTTTTTTTCTGAGCTTTGACTTCTAGAAATAAAATTACTATGTTCAATTGGGTAGTCTTTCTGCAGACGTGTGGTTTTGTTTCTCATGGGTAAATATCAGGGAGTTTCTTCTTCTTTTTTTTTTTTTTTTGGAGAGGTTTTTGCTATAGGGCGCGTGCGCTCGCCAGACAGACAGAGAGAGACATAGAGACAGAAAGCGAAAAATCACCCTCCAGGCGGGATGGCCACACCACAGTCCCTTCTCCTCCATTCTCCTCTTGGGATCTTGGGCACGCACACATACGCGCCTGGTGTGAATTTAAGCCACCGTGTCCAGGACCAAACCGCGGTCGACTACGTGGGAGTCCAGCGACATAGCCATTACACCAAGTGCTGGTCACCCTGAGTTTCTTCTTTTTCTATTTTGCCAGAGGGTGTGTGTGCTTGCCAGAGAGAGACAGAGAGAGGGAGGTACAGAGAATGTGCCTCCTTTGGTATGGTATGGGGCATGGTTGTGCCACAGACCTCTTTCCTCCATGTCTCCACCCCGTCGGCATGGAAACACAGGTACCCAGTATGTTTCTCAAGCTGCTGGTTCTGGAACCCCAACTGCAGGGTCAGCTGTGCGGGATCCAACTCCCTTAACCACCAGGCCAGAAGGCCAGCTTCCAGCCGAGTTTCAAACAATTGAAAAAACTATAATGAATATTTGAGGGTGGTGTTGATGATCTCATTAGACAGGAATAAGCTGTTTTAACAAAATAGGGCTGTATGAAAGGAGTAGTATGTGTTTTGGCATTTTTGTCTATTCTGTACAAATAATGTGACCTACATCTTTCTACTCATTAAGATGACTACTTGAGACCAGCAGTTAGCATAATGGCTATGTCACTAGACTCCCACGTAGTCGACCACGGTTCAAGTCCTGGACCTGGCAGCTTAAACTCATGCCGGGCGCGTGTGTGTGCGTGCCCAAGATCCCAAGAGGAGAATGGAGGAGAAGGGATTGTGGTGTGGCCATCCAGGGGTGATTTCTCGCTTTCTATCTCTCTGTCTCTCTCGGTCTTTCTGGCGAGCGCACGCGCCCTATAGCGATAAACCTATCTTAAAAAAAAAAAAAAAAAAAAATGACTACTGAGATATTTGACCCCATCTTAAAAAAAAAAAAAAAAGAAAAAGATGACTACTGAGATATTAGACCTGATTTTCAAAGTGTGCAAGCACACACATACAAACATGCACGCATATTGACACACCAATATAGCCAATAAAAAAAATGAGATACATGTGTATTTTTAGCCTCCCTTTTTTTAGAATTATTTATTTAATTTTATTTATTTATTCATTGATTTTAATTTGACCGGGGTGGGGGGGAATTAGAAAGTAAACCACCAGGTCCAGGACTCAAACCATGCATGGTTGGCCACATAGGAGTGTCCAATGCCTTAACCACTACACCACCTAATGACCCTAGCCTACATTTTTGTTTTTGTTTTTAAATATGCTTGGTATTAAGTATCTTCTTATGTTGAACATAGATCTATATATTTTAGTTGCTATAACTATTTCCTCTGTGTATATGTGTAGATAATATATGTAAAATAACTTATTGAATTCGTGCTCTGTCATTAGACTCTTAAGAATTTTCTTTCAGTTTTTTATTATTAAAAGTAATACTGGGGGAATCAGCAGTTAGCATAATGGCTATGTCGCTGGACTCTCACGTAGTCGACCGTGGTTCGCGTCCCAGACCTGGTGGCTTAAAACTCACGCCGGGCGCATGTGCGTGCGTGCCCAAGATCCCTAGAGGAGAATGGAGGAGAAGGGATTGTGGCGTGACCATCCCTCCTGGGGGATGATTTCTTGCTTTCTGTCTCTCTGTCTCTCTCTGTCTGGCTGGCAAGCGTACACGCCTTTTTGCTATAGCAAAAAACCTCTCCAATAAAAAAAAAGTAGTACTGGGACCAGTATTGGCGTAATGTTACCTTGCTGGACTCACACAAGGCTGGCTGACCATGGCTTGAGTCCCAGACCAGTGACTTGAAGTCTCCAGTCCTGAGGAGATTGGAGAAGGGATTGTGGTGTGGCCAACTCCCTGGGGATTGACTTCTCACTTTCTGTTTCTCTGGTTTCTCTGGCAAGTGCACGCTCCCTATAGCAAAAATCTCTCAAAAAAAGTAATAATGTAGTCCACACCTTAGGAGTAAGAATAACAGCCCAGAACAAAGATCGAAACTTAAATAAAGTTACCCTAACAAAAATAATCATAATACTGTGCTGGGACCATCAGAGGAAGTAGCGGTTGTGTTGCCGAACTCCTACGTGGCCGACCACAGATTCAGGTCCTGGACCCGGAGGCTTGAAAAATCACACCGGGCACATGTGTGTGCATGCTCAAGATCCCAGGAGGAGAATGGAGGAGAAGGGATTGCGGGTGGCATGGCTATCCCCCTGGGGGTGATTTATCACTTTCACTCTCACTTTCTCTGTCTCTCTCTCTCTCTCTGGCAGGTGCCCATGCCCTAAAGCAAAAACCTCTTTAAAAAAAAAAAAGTAATATTATGCTGAATCTCTTAGTAATACATTTCTCTGTATTTGTCCAGTTATTTTTGTAGGATAATATTCTACATATGTAATTGCTGTATAAAAGATTATGCACATTTGAAACCTTTGCTACTCTGGGACGGAAATGTACTGTAGTTTAAATTAGTATTTGTTTATTGCTAAGGTTCAATGGCCAGTTTTGTTTATCTTTATGAATTACCTATATCCGTTGCACGGTTTTCTACAGGGAGTCCACCTTTTTATTTTTCAGAGCCTTCTGTTAGGACATTCCCTCTTTGTGATATTTTAAAATACTTTCTCCTCTTACTTTAGCTGTATTATATCATTACCAAGTTCACTTCGTCAGCCACCATCCCATACAAAACTCGTTGTTTTACTGTGGTCAGATGCCGCCTTGACTGCTGGGTCACCATTTCCCGTGACTGTAATCTCTCTCTGGGTTGGGTATAGCATCGATGATTTGTTAGCCTCCTTTTTTAGGCGTCTCTCAGGAAAGCCCACGTGTGTCATGCAGTGCCTTTTCAAAGTTTCTGTCTCCCTTATTTCTTTAACCAGATGCCAACCCTGAGGTGACAATGACAATGCTTCGCTGGATCTATACGGATGAGCTGGAGTTCAGAGAAGACGATGTGTTCCTGACTGAGTTGATGAAATTAGCGAATCGGTTCCAGCTACAGCTCCTTAGGGAGAGGCAAGTTGTGGCAGATCCATTCAGTTATCTCTGAGGGAGGGAGCCTGAGCTTTAATTATGCCGAGCTCTGAGAAAGCAGCTTCCTCTGCAAATGTAAATAACTTTTACAAGGTTTTCTTTTAAAGGCCCATGACGGGGAAAGAATTGATCTCCCTTGCTTTGTGTTATCTTGTAAGCTAAGTTTTGCCAAAACTCTTATGATGGAACCAGCCAAAGGCATAATGGTTATGTCGCTGGACTCCCTCCCATGTAGTCGACCATGGTTCATCTTAAAAGTCATGCTGGGCGCGTGCATGTCCAAAATCCCAAGATGAGAATGAAGGAGAAGAGACTGTGGCGTGGCCATTCCCCCCAGGGGTGATTTCTTGCTTCCTATCTCGGTTTCTCTCTCTGTCTTTCTGGCGAGTGCACTCACCCTATAACAAAAATCTCTTAAAAAACAAAAACAAGAAAACCTCTGTGGTATTCTCTTTTCCTTCACTTGTCTATTGCTTAAGATCACATGCTTGTGTAAACAGATAAAATGAATATGAAATAATGTAGTCCAGGGTCCAGCCCCTCCGCTTTCTCTCCTGTTCTATTTCCTTTGACATTTTATTCTATTTTCTGGTAAATGTAGTTGAATGACTTCCTTGGTCATATTATCTTTGTTAGCGACACTAATGCTGAGTACCTGCATGTGGTTATGGCTCAGTAAATTTCATAGCTGGTATGTCTCAGCTTTTAAGTTACTGCTTTCAGGTTCTTTTTTTGGGGGGAGGGTGGCGGTTTGCTATAGGGCGCATGTACTCACCAGAAAGAGAGACAGAAAGTGAGAAATCACCCCACAGGTAGGATGGCCATGCCTCAATCCCTTCTCCAGTCTCCTCTTGGGATCTTGAGCACGCACGCACATGCGCCCAGCGTGAGTTTAATCCACCAGGTCCGGGACTCGAACCATGGTCGACTATGTGGGAGTCCAGCGACATAGCCTTTACACTTAACTGCTGATCCCTGCTTTCAGGTTCTTCTTCTTCCTTTCTTTTTAAAATGATCATAATCTTGTTTATATTACATTGAATCACGTGTAACTTTAGAGTGTATTACATTTCTTTTTCCAGAACCTGCTTTCAGGTTCTTAAGGAGATAGCGTGCTGTGTTTTTTATGTGGCATTTTCTCCATTGCTCTCACAAGTTGGCATTTTAGAACAACAGAAAACACAGTATTCACTGAAGGCTGTCAAGCACAATGCCTGTGAGCCTCTGTTAGAGATGTGGCTCTCGGTAGTCATCGTGGTGACGGAGTGACTTTTTACATTGCCCAGTGGTGTTTCGTGTTCTCTTGGGTGCGCACAGAGACAGCTTTTCTCCGGGGTGGGGGGTGGGATGATCTGAGCCATTGGAAGCATGTTGCTGTTGCTGTGTTGCTCTGAAGGCACCCTGACAAGACTTTGCTACCTAGAGCTGCTCCCTTCCCTGGGATTGCCCACTGTGTCCCGCAGGAATCTGGTTCTTTGTTACTGCAATTGATGTGAGTTTGAGTGCATTTGATCTAAATCCAGTTCAAAACAAAACAAGGGGAACCAGCAGTTAGCGTAATGGCTATGTCGCTGGACTCCCACGTAGTCGACCACGGTTCGCGTCCCGGACCCGGTGGCTTAGAACTCACGCTGGGCACGTGTGCGTGCGTGCCCAAGATCCCGAGAGGAGAATGGAGGAGAAGGGATTGTGGCGTGACCATCCCCCCTGGGGGGTGATTTCTCGCTTTCTGTCTCTATGTCTCTGTCTGTCTGGCGAGCGCACGCGCCCTATAGCGAAAATCTCTCCAAAAAAAAAAAAAAAAACAGAGACCAGCAGTTGGCGTAATGGCTATGTCGCTGGTCTCCCATGTAGCCGACTGCCGTTTGGGTCCCAGACCTGGTGGCTTAAATTCACGCTGGGCGCGTGTGCGTGTGTGCCCAAGATCCTGAGAGGAGAATGGAGGAGAAGGGATTGCTGCGTGGCCATCCCCCCTGGGGGGTGATTTCTCGTTTCCTGTCTCTCTGTCTCTCGCTTTCTGGTGAGTGTGCACACCCTATAGCAAAAACCTCTCCAAAAAAGAAAAAACACCAGGCATGTGTGCATACATGCCAAAATTCAAACAGGATCAAGAAATGGAAAAGGAATTGTAGCATGACCATGCCCCATAGGAGAATGCTTTCTCCCTCTTCCTCTCTCTGTTTCTTTGTCTCTCTCTGATGAGTACACATGCCCCTTAACAATTAAGAAAAGAAAAAAAAAAGAATAGAGCCTAGAAATAGACCCCCACTTATATGGAAACTTGATACACAAGAGAGATTGCATGGACTTCTCAATGCCTACTCTCTGCTGCTACATTAATTAGTTTTTAGCAACACAGACTTTTTTTTTGGAGAGGTTTTTCGCTATAGGGCGCGTGCGCTCGCCAGACAGACAGAGAGAGACATAGAGACAGAAAATGAGAAATCATCCCCCCAGGGGAGATGGTCACACCGCAATCCCTTCTCCTCCATTCTCCTCTCGGGATCTTGGCCACGTACGCACATGCACCTGGTGTGAGTTTTAAGCCACCGGGTCTGGGACTTGAACCGTGGTCGACTACGTGGGAGTCCAGCGACATAGCCATTACGCTAACTGCTGGTTCCCAACACAGACTTTTTTTGACTGAATATACCAAGTCAACATAGGGAAAGTTTGATCATGATTTTAAATAAGTAAAAATTATCTCCGATTTAAAAATTCATGATTCTTACTTAATTGTTTGTTAAAAGTTGAACATGAGACAGACCCAGTGGTTGGTGTAATGGCTATGTCGCTGATCTCCCATGTAGTCGACCGCAGTTCGAGTCCTGGACCTGGTAGCTTAACTCACACTGGGCGCGTGTGTGTGCGTGCCCAAGATCCCGAGAGGAGAATGGAGGAGAAGGGATTGCTGCGTGGCCATCCCCCCTGGGGGATGATTTCTTGCTTTCTGTCTCTCTGTCTCTGTCTTTTTGGCAAGTGCACACGCCCTGTAGACAAAACACTAAAAAAAAAAAAACAGGCCCAAGATCTACAAGGGGATGTACTCTTGAGGTTTTCCAGTTCACTCTTTCACTCATTCATTCACTTGTTTGTTTTGGTAAGAGTGACACAGGACCGATTTTTGATTGATTGCGATTTGGGTCTTTATATTGGTTTACAGATTTCCTGAACTTTCTCCCATTGATCTTGTTAAACTTGATTATCAGTTTGATCGCTTTGGAAAAGATACCCTGGGGTGGGAGTAGGTCAAATTGTTGTAATCCGAGGTAGTGGATTCTTCAATGAAAATGTTTGTTGTCTAGTGTCTGACGAGGCTTCGTAGCTGTCAACATTACCAGCTGCTCAGTTTTGTGCTGTTGACTGTTGTGGGTTTCTTAAGAGCTGGGATGGACCTAGGAGCCAAGGGGAGTGTGGCTTTGAGGAGGGTGCAGAGTGCCCACTGCTGCTTGCAGGAGTAGTTACACATCTGCGACCCAGTAAGCGAAAGGACTCTGACAGTCACGTGCGTTCAGTGTGAGGCAGGTGTTGCTCAGTTTTATCATACTGGGAACTTGGTGGGGACCAGCAGATGGCGGAATGGTTACGTCCCTGGACTTCCGCATAGTCGACTGCGGTTCAAGTCCCAGACCCGGTGGCTTAAAACTCCTGCCAGGCACATGTGCCCAAAATCCTGAGAGGAGAATGGAAGAGAAGGGATTGTAGCTTGGCCATCCTCCTAGGGAGTGATTTTTCGGTTTCTGTCTCTCTCTGGCAAGTGCACACACCCTGTAGCAAAAATCTCTCAAGAGACTATTTAGAGAGAGGAATCTTGGTGGTTTTGGAATTCCTTTACCAGTTTGATGAAAAGGAATGATTTTTGATAAGTATTATCAGGGAAATACTCTTTATATTAAAAAAAAGAAAAGAATGTAAACTAAAAGACAGTTACTGTGGAGGCTGGGGAGTGGTAGAATGTGTTGCTCTGCCAGGCTGACCCCCATGAGAAGATGTTGGGTTTGCATCCAGAGACCTCCCTGATTGCCCTGGGTACACATGTGCCTCATGACCCGGGGCTGGTTGAGGCTGGGGGCGGATCACAGTGTCAAGATCCTGGTCGGAGGTGCTGTCTTTGTCTCTACCCTGGTGGGGGTGCTGTCTCTGTCTCTCTTGCTCATGGAAGAAATAAATATTTCTAAAAAGGAGGGATAGCAGATGGCATAATGATTATGTCTCCCATGCACTCCCATGTTCTAGTCCTGTACCTAGAAGCTTAAAACTCATCCTGGGTGCCTATGCATTCATGCCCAAGATCCCGAGAGGAGAATGGAGGAGAAGGGATCGTGGCGTGTCCATCCTCCCTGGGCCGGACGTTGATTTCTTGCTTTCTGTCTGTCTGTCTGTCTCTCTCTCTCTGGCAAGTGTACACACCCTATAGTGAAAATTGCTCTTTAAAAAAATTAAATAAATACATTTATAAAAAGCAATAGTTAATAGTAAAGTATTTTTCCTGAATATAAAAAATATAATACATGTTCAGTATTTGGAAGATACATAAAGAGAAAAAAAAAAAGTCATCTGTAATTCAATCACCATTCACCTTTTGATATTTTTCCTTTCAGTATTTTTCTTTTAAAAAAATATATTTATTTAATTCCATATGTTGTTATTATTTTTTAATTTGACCAGAGAAAGACAGAGAGAGAAAGGGAAAGGGAGAAAGCCAGCCGCTGGGTCTGGGACTCAAACCATGGTCGGCCGTGTGGGAATACAACACCTTTAACCACCACACCACCTGTCAGTCCCCCTTTCAGTATTTTTCTATGTCTCACAAACACATAAAATTGATATGAAACTAAACGGAAGTTTGTGGGATACTTAAACACATACTTGGTTGTTGTACTTTTTTTCTTTAACGTTTATTTATTTCTTACGTGAGAGAGAGACAGAAACAGAGAGACAGGCACCCCCAAATGTGTCTTCCTGCCATGGTCCACCCCTAGTCTCAGCCGGGATGTCCCACGTGCTCAGGAAGGTCATAGAACAGGAACCCAGGAAGTTTCCCATGTCGGTACAGTTGTGTTTTCACTACGCCGCTGTCTGGCTTGATTATTGTATTTTAAAAACTAACTTCATTGTGTTTGTGCTCTAAAATTAAAAGCATATATTATTAACAAAAAATTCCCTTAAGGGGCCAGCAGGTGGCATGGTGGCTAAGGGTGCTGGATTCCCACATGGCTGACCACAATTCAAGTCCTAGACTTGGCAGCTTGCTTTCTCACTTTCCCTCCTCTCCGTCTGTCTTTCTCAGTCTCCCTCACTCTGTCCTTCTCTAGTCAAATTGAAATAAATACATAAATAGTTAAAAAAAAATTTGTTTTAAAAATTCCCTTATGAGACCAGCAGTTAACGTAATGGCTATATTGCTGAACTCCCATGTAGTCAACTGCGGTTTGAGTCCCAGGCCCAGTGGCTTAAACTCACACCAGGCGCGTGTGCGTGTGTGCCCAAGATCGCGAGAGGAAAATGGAGGAGAAGGGATTGCGACGTGTCCATCCCCCCTGGGGGGTGATTTCTCGCTTTCTGTTTGTCTGTCTCTCTCTGTCTCTATGGCAAGCACACGCACCCTATAGCAAAAATATCCACCCCCCCAAAAAAATTCCCTTTAGAGAACAGTCTGTCTGTCTTACTACTTTTCAAAGAGGAGATATAAACTGAGAATCTAAATTTTTAAATAAGATTGCCTATTTGTTTGTGTAAATCATGTCAATTACTATTTATAGGCCATGCAAATGGCAAGTGATACTCTGGGGATTCTAAAACGGGTGAAAATGAAGTATCTGCCAGTGCTGATAAAAAATCTGTCTTCATGAAACATATCTGAGTCCCTTGGTGCAGTTCTCAGACTCCCACTATAAAGTGCTTTAGTAACGTGCTCTGCAGATGGAACTTGGTACTCGCTGAGGTCACGCTGTGTGTGAGACTGTCTCGTGTTAGGATGGCAAGACCATGAATATGTCTTAGCAAAAGTGGCAATAGTTTCATATATCTGAAAAGATTTTTCTCCAGGAACGACTGATTTCTTAGCTGAGGTCGGAGTCCCTCTGTCAAACACTGCTGTGGTGTGGTACAAGTTTGGGGAGACCACGAGTACAGAAGACTGAGGCTCAAAAATGTCATGCTGCCGGGTCCGGGACTCAAACTGCAGGGTCCGTCATGTGGAATATGGCTGCCTTAACCACCAGACGGTGGAGCAGTCCACGCCTGCTTTTCTCTCCTCGTGAACAACACAGATTCCCTGACCCTCTAAAGCGGACTCTCATCCTGTTTCAGAGAGGAGACAGGCACAGAGAGCTCAAGCAGTTTGACCCCGGTTCAGTGGATCTCAGCTCAGGCCTTTCCTGTCAGTTCATTTCTGTCTCTCCAATGGTGGGAGGTCAGGGAATTCCCTTGAAAATAGAGCAGGCCTGTCCTTGAGGTGAGCCTGGTTCATAGGAAGGTGTGGAGGCGAGGGAGGCGAAGGACCTTGCCTTGGCCTTTTTCTCTTCATACATGAGCCTGGTTTCCCACAAGCTCCCGGAGGTGTCCTGGGCTTCTGGGGAGAGGAGGCCTGGGTCTTCCCAGCGCTACATCTCCTGGGATAGGGAGTGTGTCCGCTTGTGCTCCCGTGCGGGGCCTGCGTGCCGCTCTCTCTCCCTTCACGTAGTTGATGTTCTCTCATTAGTGACTCTGAAAGGGTCATGTTGCTGCTGTTATCTGGCTTTATAGGGACATCCTTTGTAGCCAGTTTTTCTGTCTTAGTGAATTATAGTTTGACTCTGAACCCAATTGTTTACATTATAAACATTTTGGGTGGACTTTTTTTTTTAAGTTTTTACTATAGGTCACTTGTCCCCACACTGGCCAGGATGTGGGGGAGAAATCACTCCCTGGGTGGTGGCCACACTGCAATCTCTTCTCATCTGGTCTCCCCTTGGGATTCTGGGCATGCCCATATGCACACCTAGTTTGAGTCCCAATCTTCAGTGAGCGCACATGCCCTATAGCAAAAATCTCTCTCAAAAAAAAAAAAAGAAAAAGGAATTTCATCTATCATTTCTCAAAAAAAAAAAAAAAAGAAAAAGGAATTTCTTCTATCATGTGTTTGATTTTACAATTACTTGTGTATATGGTCAGCAAATTTTTTATAATTACTTTTAAGACATTTGGGAATTATGCTTAATACATTTATTGCCAGGTTATTTGGATTCCAGCCAAACTGAGGAATATATATCATAATAAAAATTCTAGTTTGTTTTAATTAAATAAGGGAGCCTACCGACTTTGCCCAACTTGACATCATAATATTACTGGACATAGCCAGACAGAACACAGATTATTGGCTTAGTTTGTTCGTCCAAGAATTAATTTGTCCTAATGATATTGTTTATCGTAAATATTCTCTTGCAGATGTGAGAAGGGTGTGATGTCTCTGGTGAATGTCAGGAACTGTATTCGCTTCTATCAGACTGCGGAGGAACTAAATGCCAGCACCCTGATGAACTACTGTGCAGAAATTATTGCAAGTCATTGGGTGAGTGAAAGACAGAGAAGTGTGGACAGAGCATTCATCGGCAGGCAGAACAACCACGCGCAGGACCTGGTTCCATGGAAGACTACTTGGTAGTAACCAGGTTTTCTCTTGGTAGAAAACTAAAGGATAATTAGTTGAATGAAATGATCTAAAAGATGGTAGTTCTTTGATTTCAGAGGAGGGGGCAGCAGATAGCTCAGGTCCAGAAGCAGGCTTGAAAGAATTGACACCTGCCTTTGTCCTCTAGCTGTGGAAGCTGCAGCCATGCGGTGGGTGCAGGGAGCTGCCATGGGGCCCCCAGTCCTATAGTCAACCACAGCTCCACGTCTGGGCTGTCCCTTCCTTTTGCCATCAAGCTGAGAGCATTAAGTTTAGCTGTGCCTTTCTTAGGTGTAGTTTTCATCAAAAAAAAAAAACAAAAAACTTTTCTTAGGTGTAGTTTTCATCAAAAAAAAACAAAAAAACAAAACACAGTCTTTACATTTTTTGTATGTTTGTTTTGCATTGTTAAAAAGTCAGTGTTGAGACCAGCAAATGGCTTACTGGTTACGTTGATGTACTCCCACATGGCTGACCCCAATTCGAGTCCCAGACCCAGTGTTTGAAACTCATGTCGGGCATGTGTGCATGGGTGCCCAAAATCCCAAGGAAAGTGGAGGACTTGAAGGGATGGTGGCATGATCATCCGCCCTTGGGTGGAAGTGTTTTCTCACTTTCTATCTCTCTAGCAAGTACACACACCCTATAGCAAAAATCTCTTCTCTAAAAAAAAGAGAGAATAAAAAAGGCAGGGTTGGGACCAGCAGTTGGCATAATGTCTATGTCGCTGGACTCCCACATAGTCGACCGTGGTTCGAGTCCCAAACCTGGTGGCTTAAACTCACACCGGGCGCATGTGCATGCGTGCCCAAGATCCCGAGAGGAGAATGGAGGAGAAGGGATTGAGGCGTGGCCATTCCCCCGGGGGGGGTTTTTCGCTTTGTGTCTCTCTGTCTCTCTCTGCCTGTCTGGTGAGTGCACGCGCCTTATAGCAAAAACCTCTCCAAAAAAGAAAAAAAAAAAAAAAAGGCAGGGTTAATGCTACATCTTATAAACTAGTTTCTGCAAGTCATTTGGTATTCAGCAACATCGTGAGAAGAGTCTTAGTGTTTCAGAAATGTTGTCTAATAGAACTGGATTTCTTTTTTAAAAGAGATTTTTGCCATAGGGTGCATGAGAGGGAAAGTGAGAAATCATCCCCCAGGGGGATGGTCATGCCACAAGTCCTTCTCCATTTTCCTCCTGCCATCTTGGGCATGCACGCACACACACCCGGTGTGATGTAACAGGTCCACCATCTGCTGGCCTCTAAAAGAACTGTATTTTAAAGAATTGAAAGAGGAATGGTAACCTTTCTGCTAAAATAGGTAGAAATACAGAGATCTGCCATAGTAGAGACCGCTATGACTCAGTGGAATGAATTTTGCAAGTCCCAATGGATTCTGTACTCGCTAACTTTGGAGTACTAGGGAGAGAGGACTCTTTGCGAGTGGTGGAGGGCTGCCTCATGGCTCAGTTCTTCCTGGGTGTCGGCATCACTTGGGGAGGTGTAAGGGTGCTGCAGTGGAGCGCAGGTTCAGGAGGCAGGCCTCTTGGTTCTACACTGAGCTTGGCCATTTACACTCTATCTGCACTTGTGCAGGTCACTTAGCCAGTTTATGCTTTATCTGTGAAAGGCGGATCAGTTGGGAAATGTTAGGCCTTTACCACATTTTGAAGGCTTAATAGATGACAATTGTGGGCCCAGTGGCGTGATAGTTAAAGTGACCAGATCTCACATAAACAACTGCGTGGTTCAAGTCCCAGACTGGTGGTTTGAGAAACATGCCAGACACATGTGTGTGCATCCCCAAAACCCCAAGAGGAGAAAGGACTGTGGTATCCCAAGAGGAGAAAGGACCTGAGGGGTGTGGCTTCTCCTTTCTCTCTCTCTGGCAAGTGCACTCAGTCTTTTGCAAACTAAAACTAATTGTTGTTGGTATTATTAATATTGATATCTGTTTTGCTTTTCACTGTTTTTAATCCTTAGGATGATTTACGAAAGGAAGATTTCAGTAGCATGAGTGCTCAGCTGTTATACAAAATGATCAAATCCAAGACAGAGTACCCGTTACATAAAGCTATCAAAGTGGAGAGAGAAGATGTGGTCTTCCTTTATCTGATTGAAATGGATTCACAGGTACTATTGCTACTTTTTCCATTTTTCATACTTTTTCCCCCAACACTGGAGTGCACCTACTTTTCTCTGTCGTGTTTTCTACTCTTCGGAGCCATCACTGGCATAGGTCTTAATGTACATCTTTCTGTTAATAGTTTGCTTAAGGTTGGGCCAGCAGATGGTGAAGCAGTTATGTTGCTGGATTCCCATATGGCTGACTACAGTTCAAGTCCCAGACCTGGTGGCTTGAAAATCATGCGAGGCACATGTATGTGCATGCCGAAATTCCGGGAAGAGAATGGAGGAGAAGAGCTTACAACGTGGCCATCCCCAAGGGGATAATTTCTCACTTTCCCTCTCACTATCTCTGTCTGTCTCTCTCTTTCTCTCTCTGGCAAGCACATGTTCCTTGAGGTAAAAAACACTTCAACATAAAAAGGTAATCTGGGCCTCTTACACAATATTGCACTCTTCAGAGTTCTTTCAGTCTCACTACATTGCTCAATTCCAAAGCATCTTTTACATTTTTGGTAGTTGTTTTAGTAGTCTTTAAATTCTAGGTGCTCCATTCTATACCATTTTTCTTTCTTTCTTTCTTTTGTTTTAAATTTGCTATAGGGTCCATGCACTCACCAGAGGGAGAGAGAACGGGAAAGTAAGAAAGCACTCCCTGGGGGAGTGACCACTCTGCAGTCTTTTCCTGCACTGGCCTTTTGGGACTTGGCATGCACACACCCTGGAGTGCCTCTAGCTGCTAGGTCTGGGACTCCTACTGCACGGTCGGCACATGGGGTCGAGCCGCTGTGACTCCCACACCTCGTAGCTGGCCCTCTACGGCTCTTACGTTACAGTTCTGTTGCTTGGAGACTTAGTATAGGCAACACTGGACTATTACCAAGGTGTCCGTAGGCTTTGTTTCTTTCCTGACGCTCTAGGCAAGAATCCATTTCTTGTTCATTTGGGCTGTTGGCAGAACTCAGTTTCTTGTAGTTCTAGAGGTGAGTCCTCAGTTTTCTTGCTGTGAGCTGTGAGCCGAGGACCTTTCCACCTCCTAGAGCCCCCGCATCTTAGCTCCTGGCTGCCGCCGCCATCTCAAGTCCGGCAACGTGGGTTAAACCCTTCTCATGTCACATCTCCCTGGTCTCCCTTCTGCTTCCCTCTGTCACTTTCTTTCTTTTTCTTTTTTAGTTTTTGCTATAGGTCATGTGCTCACCAGAGTGAGACAGAGAAGGAGAGAAAGTGAGTAACCACCCCCTAGAGGGATGGCCATACTGCAATCCCTTCTCCATTCAGGATTTTGGGCACATGTGCAGATGCGCCTGGTGTGATTTTCAAGCCACTGGGTCCAGGTCTTGAACCATGGCGTCAGCAATGCAAAATCCAACCACCTTGACCTCCATGCCATCTGCTGCTCTTTCCTCCTCCACTCCCCCACCACTCCCCACTTCCAGTCTCTTTTAAGGACTCTTCTGATGAAATAGATTGGATCCTCATAGGTAATTCAGGATACCCTACCATTTTGAGGTTTTATTCTTAATCACATCTGCAAAAAGTGCTTTGCAATGTAAGGTGATATATTTACAGATTCTGGGGTTCAGGACATGGACTTCTCGGGGACCACACTGCCTAATAAAAGAAATGCAGTTGCTTTCTATTGCTTTTTAAGTTTCTCAAGTGATTCACTTTTTTCTTTCTTTTTTTTTTTATCGTTTCTTTTGTCCACAGAGAAGGGGAGGCAGACAGGTAGGCAGGCAGGCAGCCCTGACAGGGTTTCATCACACCGCCTTCTTCCCCCAGTCTCCCTGCCAAGCAGGCACACACCTGGCATGCATGTTTCAGGTCTACTTAGGACTCGAACCCATGGTAGTCCATGTGGCTTTCGGCAACACAGGTCAGCACACTACCACCTGGGCCAAATGCAGTTGCTCTTGACAGAGGAAGAGGAAGTCTGTTTCACGCTGGGTATCCAGTGTAGGGAGACAGACAGCTAGGGGGATTCAGTGCTTGGACGGCGACAGCCTCTCGTGAAGACAGTAGCTGTTTTCCGTGAAGCTCTCTGCGTGGAAAGCTCTCTCAGCACTTGTGCCCTGCAGCGCTCCGTCTCCACGTCCCCGGGTGTCTTGTCTTCCATGTTGTGTATGTGTGCTCTGTGATCTGCCTTCATTCTGTGCGCTCTGAAAGCATGTGTCCCGAGGAGTTCTGATAGAAGTTTCTGGACGAAGATGGACGTGGGAAGTAAGCAGCGTTAAAGCATTAACGTGTAATGTTTCTTTAAGAGATAATGTTTTAGGGTCAATGTGGGGAAAGTGAAGATAGGTTGTGGCCCAGCCATGGTAGTGTGTGTTGGTAAGACACTGTGGGAGGCCAGAGTTGATTCCCAGTCCAGCCTGGAGGCTGTGTGCATGGCGTGTGTCTGTAACCCCGTAACTCAGGAGGCTGAGGCCAGAGCCTCAGGACCTTGAGGTTGGCCTGTCCGAAGATGAGCCAGGCATTGAGGTGTGTGCCTGTAGTCCTGGCTGCAAGGCTGAGGCTGGGAGATGGGACAGTGAAGCCCTATTTTTTTAAATAAATAAATTTAAGAAATAGGTTGTGTTCTGTAATTACTGGGTGCTAATGTACAAACTTACTGTGCAGCTCCCGGGGAAGCTGAATGAAGCGGATCATAACGGAGATCTTGCATTAGACCTAGCCCTGTCACGACGACTAGAGAGTATCGCCGCCACGCTGGTTAGTCACAGAGCCGACGTGGACATGGTAGACAAGAACGGCTGGAGCTTATTACATAAAGGAATCCAAAGAGGTAGGGGACAGCGTGTTACGTGGTTTTCTCTGCAGGCAATTTTATTTTTAACCAAGTAATTTTTTCAAGTCTCTGACCCTATTCTAGAAATTCCCAAAGGCTTCCTGAATCTACTTGCAGGCTCCCTGATTTAGAATTTGTAATCCTTGGGTCAGAGGAGGGTTTGGAGATCTCTTGCTTATACCTGATTAGTTTGGCTTACATGGTGCCAAGAGGCCCCACAAAAGAAGTTGGTACTTTGGGAAATATATATATATATATATATATATTTTTTTTTTTTTTTTTTTTTTGAGAGAGAGAGAGA